GTGCTTCAGAAAGCCTCACACCCACTCACACCTATATTCACACACCGAGGCGCAGCTGCCATCCAGGGGGGAGACCTGAACATTAGAGGCAGTTTATTTCAGATTCTTCCTCAAAAGGAAAAAAGCAATAACATCCACCTGGTAACTCAAGCCGGTTTTGTCTGCCAAGCTTTGGTTTCATTGGGAGCTGTTCATCAACAGGGAAACAATGAGCCTTAAAAAGGTTTAGTTAGACAGCCTTCTCTGTCTCCCTCTTTGGGCGACTTTTAGGAGGAGAATTTAGGAGAAATGAACTTGTTTCTTATCTTTGCCTGCAGCTGCGGTTTGGTTGGGCCACTCCACAGCATGAGAACTGCTGTCAGCATGAAGACACTGCTGGGTAGGTCGTTTAAAGGAGTTCGGGGAGGTGCGAATAGGCAGGAAAGACACATGTAACACACGTCATAGTTTGTGCAGGAAACCAGCTACAACGCTTTCAGCCAATGAAAAATGGAGAAACATATATATAGATTAGAGCATGCTAAGCATGACCTTTATCTACAAGATCAAGAGAGAAAAACAAAATCCAGATCATAGTAAATATGTCTGTAAATGACAAAAAAGGAAAACGGATCCTAAAATAGCCTTTATTAAAGGTTGTTCATAACCTTCTCTGACATTTTAATTACACTGGAAAGATCTCGGTGGGGGAAGGTTTGTATGATTTATTTGTGTTATTTTTCCTTTGGGATTGAGAAGTTATTGAATTAAAGTAAATATAAAAACAAAACTCCTTTTTTATCAGTTTCATGGGGAAGAACAGTCTAATCCATATCTATAAATCTTAATAACCTCCATGTGTCGTGTCTTCCCTACAGCATGCAGACAATACAGCCAAATAAGGAAACTTAACACAAGGGGAGGTTTGCATTATGAAAGGGAAATAAAGTTATATTTTTATCAACATTGTTTTGTTAGAAGACAGGGTTAAATAGCAAAGTTTCAGACCCTGCTAATAATGTTTATCCTCCTTGGTAACAATAGGCAAGACAACATGACACATCATACTCCAAAGAAATACAAACATTCAGGGGAAACAAACTTATTTCATCTCAATGAAGAAATGGTTACAAACCTTTATTTTAGGCTTTAAGATCCTGGGAAACCACAGTTGGAGCCATTTACACAAAATGAAGAACCCAAAAGATTGGTCTTCAAGGAGGTCATGAAATAACCCAGAACATGACCCATCTGCTAACACCAGATTTCATTATCCCCTTCATGATAATGAAGTTTGGTTTTAGCAAATGGGTCCATTGCTAAACAAAAAAAACAGAAAACAAGGTTCTCACATTTGCAAAAAATTGGCAAGACAGAAAAATGAAAAAAAAAAAAAAAGATTACGTTGGATGTTTTGTTTCTGCTATAAAAGCTGAATTTATCTTATGCTTTTTTGTGCCAGCTAATGTAAAATTCTATAATGTGT